CTTCCCTGAAGGGAAAAGAATTGTTTCTGCCAATTCTAGAGTCTTTGATAAAGCTGAGCAGAAAATGTCTACTCAACATCGTGAATTATGTGGAATAATATCTGCTTTGCAAACCTATGAATTCTACATTATAGGTTCACCCTTTCCTCTATACCTATATTGTGATCATAGACCTATTCTCTTCTTATGGTCCAGAAAAGGACAACTATCTCATAGATTTTTCAAATATCAAGTCGTATTGACAAAATTCAACAATTTGAAAATAATCTATACTCCAGGTTCAAACCTAGCCTTTCCTGACTTATTGAGCCGAAATGTGCCCATCGCTGATATCAAAAGATATCAACTAGAACACAAAACTATTCCAAATGATATAAAGTTCATCCTAGACAATGGAGAACAAATATGTTATTCAGTACTCCACAAAGATGATAACATATTTCAAAACAATTGCTATCCAGTCATTGCTCAAGTGCAAGGCGGGAAAAAGAAATTAATCAACATAAGTGACAGAGGAGACTTCAGCATTGAAGATGCTCCAGAATATTTTGAAGAGTCTTGTAGTGCAATTCAAAATATAACAGATTTCTTCCGATTTGGCAAACAAATCAATCAAATCAAACGACTATCTATACCAGATATAAACGATCAAAACATTTATGAAGAAATTCCAGATGAAGTATCTGCACTTGATGATCCTTTGGAAAATTCAGAATGGCTTGACTTATATGAAGGCAATGTTGAGAACAACCTTCTCAACGATCTGGTTAAAGCAAAAACTGAGTTGGCTGCCAAAACAAGACCTTTGAAATTAATCGAACCCCTAAGTCTCCAATCTGAAGAGAATAAATCAGATTCTCTTGAACTGATAGCAAAAATGACCAAATTTGCTAAAGAAGCAAATTTAGACGTTGAAACAGTTATGCAAGAGCAGTGTAACGATACTGTAATCGTAGATATCAAAAATTGCATAAAGTAAAACGAAAAGCCAGAAAGAAACAAAAAAAATCCTTATCGTGAAGAAAAAGGGTTAAAAGCCTATATCAGGCAGTTTGAATTATTATTCATTGAAGACCAACATGATCTTCTATGTATTAATGAATATAATGATGACTATACTAAGAGTCCAAGAATTTGCTTACCCATCTCCCTAGTGCTAAATTGCTTTGAATTAGCTCATAAGCATCCTCTTAGCGGTCATCACGGCGAAACAAAAACTTTGGAAATAATTAAAAGATATTTCTATTGGCCCGGACTCTATAAATGGGTTAACATGCTTCTTCATGATTGCCTAGAATGTCAGAAAAATAAACCTAAACGAAAAGACCTGAATGAAGCTCCATTACAACAATGGGGACAATTAGAAACAATCCCAATGAAAACGATTCACATTGATCATAAAGGTCCGCTCAGACCATCAAGTCATGGCAAAAACTTTTGCTTAGTTGTGATAGATGCCTTCTCTAGATATCTTCAAGTATATCCATGCACCCATGCAGACTCTAAGGAAACTATTAAGCTCTTAGAGAAATACATCACAACATTTGGTATTCCACAACAATTTATTCATGATAATGGAAGTGCATTCATGAGTAATGACTTTGCTCATTGGTCCTCTGAATTGGGAATAACCCTGAGACCAAGAACTACTTACTCGCCTTGGACTAACGGAAAAGTTGAAGTCCAGAATAAACATTTAACCCAGTACTTTCGACATTTCTTGAGTACCTCAGGCTCAAACTGGTCTGAATTAACAAATAAATTTGCTTTTGCACATAACACCGCCATTAATTCAAGTACAGGTTACACTCCATATGAGATTGTTTTTGGCATAAAACCTCAAGTTCCTCTTAGCCTTAAATTAGGCCTCTACCGCGACCAAAACAAAAGATGTACCTCTGAATTTTGCGCTGGTCTCGAAAATCATGCTCATACCGAGCATAAATCAAACAATGAGACCATAGATAGATTTCTAAAAAATCAAATTTCCGCCGAAATATTAAAAAGGGAAAATGATTTTAAGCTGATTTATCGTAACACCTATACCCATTGCCGCCGTATCACTAATAAGGCCCACATGTTCCGAAATCAATATATCAACTAGAACACAAAACTATTCCAAATGATATAAAGTTCATCCTAGACAATGGAGAACAAATATGTTATTCAGTACTCCACAAAGATGATAACATATTTCAAAACGATTGCTATCCAGTCATTGCTCAAGTGCAAGGCGGGAAAAAGAAATTAATCAACATAAGTGACAGAGGAGACTTCAGCATTGAAGATGCTCCAGAATATTTTGAAGAGTCTTGTAGTGCAATTCAAAATATAACAGATTTCTTCCGATTTGGCAAACAAATCAATCAAATCAAACGACTATCTATACCAGATATAAACGATCAAAACATTTATGAAGAAATTCCAGATGAAGTATCTGCACTTGATGATCCTTTGGAAATTCAGAATGGCTTGACTTATATGAAGGCAATGTTGAGAACAACCTTCTCAACGATCTGGTTAAAGCAAAAACTGAGTTGGCTGCCAAAACAAGACCTTTGAAATTAATCGAACCCCTAAGTCTCCAATCTGAAGAGAATAAATCAGATTCTCTTGAACTGATAGCAAAAATGACCAAATTTGCTAAAGAAGCAAATTTAGACGTTGAAACAATTATGCAAGAGCAGTGTAACGATACTGTAATCGTAGATATCAAAAATTGCATAAAGCAAAACGAAAAGCCAGAAAGAAACAAAAAAAATCCTTATCGTGAAGAAAAAGGGTTAAAAGCCTATATCAGGCAGTTTGAATTATTATTCATTGAAGACCAACATGATCTTCTATGTATTAATGAATATAATGATGACTATACTAAGAGTCCAAAAATTTGCTTACCCATCTCCCTAGTGCTAAATTGCTTTGAATTAGCTCATAAGCATCCTCTTAGCGGTCATCACGGCGAAACAAAAACTTTGGAAATAATTAAAAGATATTTCTATTGGCCCGGACTCTATAAATGGGTTAACATGCTTCTTCATGATTGCCTAGAATGTCAGAAAAATAAACATAAACGAAAAGACCTGAATGAAGCTCCATTACAACAATGGGGACAATTAGAAACAATCCCAATGAAAACGATTCACATTGATCATAAAGGTCCGCTCAGACCATCAAGTCATGGCAAAAACTTTTGCTTAGTTGTGATAGATGCCTTCTCTAGATATCTTCAAGTATATCCATTCACCCATGCAGACTCTAAGGAAACTATTAAGCTCTTAGAGAAATACATCACAACATTTGGTATTCCACAACAAATTATTCATGATAATGGAAGTGCATTCATCAGTAATGACTTTGCTCATTGGTCCTCTGAATTGGGAATAACCCTGAGACCAAGAACTACTTACTCGCCTTGGACTAACGGAAAAGTTGAAGTCCAGAATAAACATTTAACCCAGTACTTTCGACATTTCTTGAGTACCTCAGGCTCAAACTGGTCTGAATTAACAAATAAATTTGCTTTTGCACATAACACCGCCATTAATTCAAGTACAGGTTACACTCCATATGAGATTGTTTTTGGCATAAAACCTCAAGTTCCTCTTAGCCTTAAATTAGGCCTCTACCGCGACCAAAACAAAAGATGTACCTCTGAATTTTGCGCTGGTCTCGAAAATCATGCTCATACCGAGCATAAATCAAAAATGAGACCATAGATAGATTTCTAAAAAATCAAATTTCCGCCGAAATATTAAAAAGGGAAAATGATTTTAAGCTGATTTATAGTAACACCTATACCCATTGCCGCCGCATCACTAATAAGGCCCACATGTTCCGAAATCAATTTAAATTAGGACGGCCCATAAAAGAAGGAACAAAAGTGTTACTAGAAAATAGATCCAAACCACTATTGAAAAGTCAAAAGCTTTTAAATTTGAGATCTGGACCTTACACCGTAATTGAAAAAATCACGGAAGTAACATACGGAATTCAAAATGATTTCACTAACGAAAAAAAGATTGTCCACCGCAATCATATTGTTGAATACTTTCCTAAAGAACAACAAATGCCCAAGCTACTACAGGAGTACTCTAGTGATTTATTTTCAAGTGATTTTTTTGATCATATAACAAATCATCAAATCGACTCTTTCAATAAACCGAAACAAGTTGAAAATCTACAATACCAGTTTTGGCCAGTAGTCAACAATGGTTATCAGCAAATGACTGATAATAATCCTACAAATGAGGATCAAAATAGAACTATTGTCCAAGATCAATCATTAGATTCAGGCAGAGAAACTATGCATCTAAGAACTTTGTTCGATGCGACTGCGATTGACCAGAATCTTAGACCTATTCGAAGTTCAACTCCCTATCCTGCTGATAAAACCCCTAATCCTTCAACTAGTCAATCTAGTAGTTATGGCCACCGCCGCCTACCTAGCCGCAGTATAAGTCCTAATACTAGTCTCGCAAATGACTTTGGCCGCCGCCACCAAAATATAACAACACAATATAATACTCCCCGTCCTCCTGATTTCCCTCGTTTATCTGAATCATCAGAAAGCTTTACTGACGGAAAAAATATTCCTCATAGCTCTCAAGAAAGCTTCTATGAAAATACTCGATCCGCACCTGGATCACTTTCAGAATCTAAAAAACCTAAACGGACAAATCGTCCTACAAACTTTTATGGAACTACAATTCCATCTAGCATAATTGGCAAATTTAAAAAGAAATAAAAACACTAAACCATTTATTTGGCCAGCATAATATTTTTTTAAATTCTTTTTATTGGCCTTCTCTTTTTTTTCTTTTTCTACTTTATAAATATTTCGTTTCTAATAAAAGCACAAAACACCAAAAATGACATGTTAATAAATAAATTTAAAAATAATTTTTATAAATATGAGATTTAATATCTGAGTACGCTTTCATAAGTTTTAATGCCGCCATCTTTTCTAACGAGTTTTCCGCGGCCCTACTCAGGCTCCTCACTGCAAACTGCAGCGCTGAGTACGGCCGCCACCAAGCTTGATAAATCTCCTCCAGCATAATCTCAAGCTCTATTTTCCGTCTAAACTCTGCCTCCGCCACTGGCTTTTTGAAGAATTCTTCTTGAAACTAAAACAAATTTATATAGTATTTCTATGTTGCCATGCCACTTGAATAAAAAAAAATTTTTTTATTACTTTTAAAATTGAGTGTATTGTAAAATAAACTTACATCCGCCCCAAAGAATAAGGACAAAAAGTCCATTGTCTCTTGGGAAACCACATGGTTTCCACTCCATGGGCTCCGAATTTTCTTCGTGAAGCACCTACTTTGAATCGAGCCCAGCTCAAACAGTTCGTCAGTATTCAGGACCGGATACTTGAATATGTAACTCCGGTCCATAAATATCATGAACTCCATGGGTGTCAGATTAGCACCCTTCTCGACTAAATCGTCGTATATTCCCACTCTTCTCTCAACTTCCTTGTCCTCCAGCAAGGCTTCGTGTTTAAAATCCAACTCATCCCGCAAGTTCAAAAACTTCTCGGGAAAGTCCACCAGATTGTCTTCAGGCTCGATATAACTCATTTTTCAAAGAAAGCAAAAATTTTTAAAAATACTGAGATAACAGATGAAGTTGAAACGGAAAGCAAACAAATGATGTTGCTTTTAGTCCTCTTTTATGAAGAGATGTTTTTTTTCATTTTCCTCCTCCAATAAGGAAGGGGAATGCAGTTGTTAAAATTAACATCAGCATAAACGAATGATTATCATTCCACTGCTAGATCTCAACAAATCAAAACTAAGTGGAAAAACCACGACATTAAGCCAGATTGGAAAAAACCACAAAACGAATGGCGAATGAATTACGACTTAAAAAGAGTCACTTCCGAAAGACGCCGAATAACAACGGCCAATCAGTGCTTAGATTTGCAAAAAAGCAAAAACAGCCTTTAAAAACTAACTGATATACAGTTGTTTTCATTCTTGCTCAATTCCACATCTTTCATTCAAATCCTCCTCTCTCTCTCTCCAAAATATAAAATCTGCTGAATTCCTCAACAAAAATTGAAATCTAACTCAGATTTCCCTTCACAAAAATCCACAAAATGACAAATCCAAATAGTGAAATAGAGGAAGGTGAACTAATGGACCAAGATCCTGTTCTAACCACTCTCGAGGAAATGCTTAAAGTAAGTACTTTTAAAAATTATTCTACTATCATTCACCACCAAAAAATAAATTTGCAAAAAATTTATTTGGTTGGTCTTTTAACTCTAATGATACTTTCGAATCAAACCTCAGCATTTGATCCGAAAGAACAATTATATGCAAATACTGCAAATAATCTTCGGGTTGCTCATTATGATTGTCAACTAATGACTTCTAACAAAATGTTCTCTCTAAATAAAGTCGCACCTTGCAAAGTCCAACCAGAAAATATTAAAGTAGCCCATGCTTATGTTACTCTATATCAGAGACATTTAATGTTAAAACAGTAACTAATGCCCATGCTGGCAAAGTTGACGGCAAACATCATAACGAATGTGATGGCCGTTCTTGGATTAAATTGGACACTTTTGAAACTTACATGCAAAATGTAGCTCTGACTGTTAACCTCAAAGATGGAACAGTCAAAAATTGGCAAAACATTCCTTTGCCCTGTCCAGTGTCTGAAAATGGATGTGAAACAACATCCTTAGACGCTTTTGCTTATACTTGGGAAGAACCCAACAATTGCATTTTCACTGTTTTAAACAGATTTCCGGCTAAAATGATTCAAAACGAAGAATCATACTACATAATTAAAGGCGATTCTAGCCCATCTATTCATTCTACCCATACAAGGGATTCTCGAAAATTTATGCTACAGGTGATGAATAAACCGCAATCTCTTTGTGGTCATCCCAGAATAGTGTATCCAACTTCATATGATTCACTTTTTATTGCATACACTGACGGTTTCAATATGGATACTGGAATCCAAGTTAAACCAACCCCAGAAACGGGAACTATTCATAATGCCGGCCAACCAAATTCTACTTTTCTCACATTAAGTGATGATTCACCGCCACTCCAATTTTCAAGTCATCAAATTGACTACGAAGCTCATATAGGTACCAAATTGGACTATATTCTTTTTTATAGCTTCTACATGCTCAGAACGGCCGAGTTAGCCCTTCTGCAAAATCAATGTGAGCTAGAACGCTCCTCAATATTAAATACTTTAATGCTTTCACTTGAAAGCCCCCGTTTGGCTGGCTATATTTTAACCAAAAACCGCTCTATGTTCTTAGAGACCAATGGCAATGTTGCCTGGCTCTACCATTGTCCGAAATTTTATTCACCTTTGCAATTAATGGATGAATGCTATAATCGCATTCCCATTATGTATGAGGAAAACATTCGATTTGTCGATCCAATTACGCGACAAACTTTTCAGTCGGCAGATCTACAAGACTGCTCCGACAAACATTCGAATCTCTTTCAACTAGATGTTGATGATGATAAGTCCTGGATTGAATTAACCCCTCAAATTACAAGGGTTACAGGACCACATCTCTTTAAACCAAAAGAGATAATTCAAAAGATCAAGCATTCTCTAGCCTCTAGCCAAGGCGCTTCAATCTACACTTATGCTCAAATGCAAAAATTCTGGAATATGATTTCCGATAATTCAGAGATGAAAGGAATACTGCAAAAAGTATCCAGGTCCTTTCTAAATGCTTAAAAAATTCTTTTCAAGGACTCATACAGCCCACTAGGCTCTTCCCAAACAATTTATTTGGACTATCTCATCTCTCCAAACTTTTGGAAAAACGAATACACCCGTATATTCGGGAAAGTACAATACTATTTAGAAAAATCCGGAATAGTCTTCGCCTCTTTTCTATTTGTAAAATTCATACTAGATTGCCTAGTATTCATAATAAAGGCTATGCATATTCACAAAATCACCGGCCGCTCACTACATTTTGGCAAAGTATTACTTGCCGCTTCATACAATATACTTTTCACTTCCATAGTGACCTCAATTTTCACTCAAGATGAGCAAGCTGAAAAAATAGAACAAGAATGTGATCAGAAAATACAAGCCCCTCTTTTAGAGGAAATTGATAAAATAAACCAGGATCGCATGTATCCTCAAATCCAATTAACAAATTTTGAGAGAAGAACTCAAAACTTGGATCACCCAACAAACCCAGTCTAATAAAAAATTCTACTGTTCTAGGATATACCAACTGATTCAACTATGAACACAACACTTGATGACGACTTGAGAGATTTTGAAGATCTTCTCTCACTCCTGCCACCAACCGATCCACTGGACTCGCAGATTTCAGCACTCACTCAACAACCAACTGTTTCTTCTACTACAACACCCACTGCAAAACCGACCTCAACACGATCCTTCGTTGAGCCACTACTTCAAACAAGTTCAGCTGTCCCAATAACTACAGCATCACAGCCACCACCCCTAAAAATTTCACCCCCTGATTTTCAAATACCCCTGGTTCCCTCGAATTCTAAAATTAAAAAACGGACCCAGATTGTAAAACCATATAAGATACTAACGGCAAATACGCCGGTATCAACTTCTCATTGTCCAATGACCATTAGGCGACAGCCCTTGCAACCCACTGAAATAAACACTAGATTACATATTCAGTTAGAAAGGGAACGATACATTAATTCTAAAAGCAATCCTGGCTTCTATATGGATCTCAATTATGCTTTGAGTCCATTAATCAATCGTTTTAAATTAGAAGCTTATCACCCTATAAAAAAAATGTATTCCATAACTAATTCCCTTCTTGAAAATCAAAAAATCTATGTCCCAGCAAAGTATCTGACAGCAAAATTACAAACCCCCCAGTTAGATGACTATACTGAGCAAATTCAGCGCAGTCATATCCATGAAACGCACCAAATCCGGGAGCTGAAAAAGCAAATCCACAATTTGAAAACAAAAAATCAACAACTTATAGCCCAGTTGGAAGGAAAATTGTAAGAAATTTATCCTTTTATTTAAGCATTTATTCTTTCGCTTTATATAGCTATGTAGTATAGCTATTAATTTCCTTTTAACAATTTTGACTTTTATAAAAAACAAAAAACACAAAAAAATACCCCCTTTGTATGAACCAGTCCTCCCCTTATTACGCGTGTGGACAGACTTCACATACTTCAGGAAGAAAAGGAGACTTCGGAAAAAGAATGTTTAAGGAATAAAACTAACCTTCAAACTTTTGAGAAACGGATAATTTTGATGTATTTAATTTTATAGTTAAATCCCTTGGTTGTGTAAACTCTATTTTGATTTATAAAAGTAACTGATGTGTTTATATTCATTCAAGCCTGACTCAAAGTATCAGTTGTTCAAAAACATCTGCTACCTGTAATACCAACAAACTATTGAACCAACTTTATGAGATTGAAAGAAAAAGCTTCGATTGATCAACAATTACCCCACTATTCAAGTAAAAGTAATAAAAATGAAAGTTTCAGTTTTTTTCCTCTCCAAATAGGAGGATGGATATGTTCTGGCTTGAATATTACTGTTTTAACAAAAACAAATTTTTTTTTTCACGTTTCAAAAAAGTTTTAAAATTGAGATTGTGCTTGGAAATTGATCTTTTTTATGTCGCTTTTTCTCTCGTAAATTTTGTGAAAACTGCAGTTCAAATTTCAGCAAGTGATTTAAAATTTAGAGTCTAGACTCAACAACTTTCAAACAACAAGTTTTATTGATAGTTTTAATAGGAAAAATATTAAGTCTTAAGCCTTACCTGGGCTTAAGATTAGATTCGAAGAATCAAAATAATTGACGGAGTAGTAGAGATCTTGTTGAACTGATTCAAAAATCCTTTTTCTCAACATAATCTTTCCGTATTTCGGTTTTCGAAGTAAAGTTATGTTCAAATTCTTTTTTGGCATGTCAGCATCTTCAAGAGAAAAATAAGGTCGACCTAAAACCACGGAAGCTCCTTCTTGTACTGTGATTGGTTGAATCAATCGGAACTTGGGATGCTCGTCGTTTCTCGGTTCAATGGTAATTTCCATCAACGTTTCCTGGATTGCGTAATTTTTTCCGTCCGAGCAAATAAACTTCATAAAATCAGCTTCCGGTTCGATTTTTTGCACTCGATGCGTGTGTAAGCTTTGAACATAGGCCAACTTTTCCATTTTAACCTGATCAAAGTAGAAACTACTAATTGGCAAGTAATAGTACGGCGAAGTTGCGTCTACATTAGCTAAGTAGCCATATGACGGTTGCCTAGAAATATAACAGATTATTTGGGACAAAAACGAATCATTGTCTTCGGCTTCTAGAATGTCGCCGCTTATTGCAACTTTTCCACCTTCTGGAACATAGACAGTATGCGCTATAATAGTCGGAGGAGTCACGTCTATAGGGATAATATTAATTTCGATTTGCATGTTTAGAAGCGCCTGGTATTTCTGGTGCGCTTCGAAACCTTCGGTTGGAGTTATATCAAGTCGGAACTCAAAAATATCTTTCACAATCGAGTTGCGAGAAAAGTTATTTGGTTTGTAAATAACAGCTTGTTGGCTTTTTTCGAAGTCGTCTAGAGTAAGAGTCCCGCCTCTGTATTCATCACCCGTTGCAATCCAAATAGCGCCGTAACTGGAAATCGGTGCGTCTATGTTGTAATAGGGACGATAGCCGAAATCACTTTCTGGAAAGTTGAAATTTTCTCTAACAAGAGAGAAAGCGTAGAGCGATGTTTTGGTTTGATCACGTGACGGAAGATGTCGCTTTTTGACTTGTTTCTCCTGTTTTGTGTAAATGTCTGTTTTGTCTATTGCTTTGCGTAACTCTTCAAAGTACCTCCAAGTAGCCTGGAAGCAAAATCAAGTGATTAAACCGTGCAATTGAAAAACATAACTAAACGGTTACTATATAAGTTAATGACGGTTACAGGCCCGAAATTGAGCATACACGTAATTTAGTCTAAAAAGCATTAATGCTGATCGTATCATGGCAAACCCCGAAAATTTTGACTGCCCTTTAACGTCTATGAAAAAGTTTTTTGAAAAAAGAAAAGAAAAAAAAATTGGTTTTAAAAAAAAAATTGTTTTTATAATTATACCCTCACTCGCCATGTGAAGTGTATAATGATATATTTTTTGTCTGGCAAAAACCAATAATATTAAATTGTTCGCCTCAATTTAATTTGTATATTTTGAAGCAAATATTTTGCAATGCAATTCTTGGCACACTTCGAGCTGAAAAGCCTGAACCGATCACTGACCGCCGAATAGATTTACTGTTTCATAAGTTTTCTGTCAGTTATTTCTACATCGAATTATTGCTCTTCGTTTTAACATCTGTTCTGATTTCAAATAGAAACAGAAACATGAATTATTTTATTGCGTTCACAAAATGTGACGCCGCCGCCACCACCAAAAGAAATATGTTTTTATTCCCTTGCAAAAGGAAGGGAAATGCTATTGGAATAATTCGTATAACGTTTTAAGCATTGAGAATTGAAACGACTATTCTCATTCAATACGAATATTAACGATTCCTCTCGTAAAATACGAGCATACGAAACCTTCTTCTCGTAAAATACGAATGTACGAATAAAGAATACGAAGTTAAAAGAAACTTCTCATTTGATACGAAAAGTGGCGTGATTTCCCAATCTGAGTATAAATAGAAGCTCAAAACTACGGGAATTCATTCCAACAATATCTCTTCTAACACCAACACCACTCTCTTCTACCACCCCAACCAATCTCAAAAAAAATATCTCTAATCTCACCGTAAAAAATAAATATTGAGTCAAAAGGCAACTTGCTGTAAATTCATACTAACTTCTTTTTTTAATAAAATATTTCTCAGCGAATTTTAGATTTACTTTCTAAGATAGAAAGTAGAAAGGACCCTTTATTCCTAGCAAGCGTTTTGTCCGACGTCTATAGTATTGCTAGCGTAATACATCTAATTCGCTTTTTTGTTGTTTCAATTACCCACTTAATCTACATAACGATTATTAGAGTCTGATTTGCCTGTTTTTAAGAGTCCTAGATGAACCTTTCGAATTAGTAGGCAATTCGGAGACCAGGCTAGAAGAAGCTTTGTTGCGGAATGCGCACCAGGGATTTTTGTTCCGACCATTTGAAAAATGTGGAGGAACTTTGTATTCGAATGTGTTTAACTTTTTTTTAGCTTTAAGGCAAAATCAGGTACTGTAAACAATCAACAAAATGGTTCGAGTTATATAACATAAACATACAAAAGCTTTTTCAACTGCAATTCGAAAAGCATTATAAAATTTAGAAACAATTTTCAGAGTCGAGAAAAAAACGGGTTTGAAACTTTTTATTTTTGGTCTATTTTCCAGCCAATAAAGTTTGTCAAGTTACAATTTGCAGGTTTACAGTAGCTAAGATAAGTTTAAATTAAGCCGTGAAAATTTACTTTTATACCAGAGTAAAGTTAGTATTGTAAAATTTTTAGCGCCATTATAGGAATAAAAACCTTCAAAAAATCAGGAAACTTCCTAAATTTTTTCAAAAGATTTTTCAATTTCGTTTTTCTAATCATTTCATAAAGAAACTGTTTGCCAACTGGCCAATGTGACTATGATCGTCGAATATACCTAGTTTCTCTTTTTCACCACGCAGAAAAAACGGCACCAATTTTAAAAAAATCAGATTGTTTTTTGAGATCATCGTCGGAACATTGTGTGCTATTTGCGCAGTAATCGGCTCTGCTCGTTCTTTTGAATTTTGTGAATATGAAATGCATTTTTTAATGTTTTTCGTTTTTCATTGATTTATTTTTGCAACAATCTGTTGAATATTTTTTTGATATATAATCAAAATCATTTGTTTGAAAAAGAAGTCTACACATCAAAAAGTGGCCTTGAAAAACCTGTTTTCTGTCGATTGAAAAAGGGGAGAAACTTTAAATTCGAGTGTGCTGTAGTTTTTTCTTTTTTTTTGTTTTCCACGCAAAATCAGCTTCCACAAAAAATCATCGGAGAGAGTTGAGTGATCCATAAAGTCCTATTTAGGTCCTTTCAGTCTTGATTCGACTCGACCGACAGTAAAAAAAGTCTACAAACTTTCTCAATGTCGAAAAAAACGGGTTTAATTTTTTTGACTTTAGTTCAATTTTGCCAAAAAAATAAGTATTTTTAAAAAATTTTAGGCTCGTAACACTTGATTTTACTATCAAGAATATTAGTTTTGTGTGTTTCTTTGAGCACTTATTCTAAAATAAAGATTTGAAAAAAAAGTAAAATTATTGAACAAAAAAGTCAAAACTTAGAAAAAAATTTCAAATTTTTTTCCTTTTTGTTTGTTACTCATTTTTTGAAAATAATGTTGGTCAAATATCCCTAGTTCAAATTTTTTCTTGCGATCCTATAGTTCTAGAATCACACAACCCACTACAAAGACACTAAATTGAAAAAATTTAGAAAAAAAATTCGTAATTGTACAGCAACCGGCTATCTTTGTTATATTTTAGCGTGCTCTTAGCCAAATTTGTAATTAGACGAAAGTGAATATTTTATTTTCCTAACAAAACAAATGGTTTTCGAAATTATTTGAAAATTTCGGTCGATTTCTTTTTCTTCTGAATGCACACCCAATTGAAGCAATTATCCCATGCTAATAGCCACACATGCTAATCGCTACAACCCTGATCTCTTAGGTGCATAGAACCTATAACTGTCTGAGAAATTTCAAAAAAAATAGATCTAGGGTTTTCTCGAGGGAGAGGAAAATTGAAATTGAGTTTTTTAAAGCGTTCCTTAAAACATTTGAATTGAATGAATTGACCTCATTTGTGGTACCCTACTTGCTGTCCAAAATTAACATCCCAGAATTCTTAATTTCATCAATTTTCGAGAAGTGTTTGGAATAAAAAAATTGAAAAAGGATTCTTACTAAAGTTAGGGCGACAGCACTGCTTTGTCGAACATAGATACTGATTCGTACAAAATCACTGAATGTCTGTGAATGGATACTGTATTCGTTGAAAGAATCGATCGAAATTGGAACTTTAATTGGCACCAAATTCACCCCATCTGTCAAAACGGCCTCGAAGTTGTCTTGAAAGTTCACAAAGTCCCCGACTTGAAACGAAATTCTCTGATTGGTTAAATCTGCTGCCTTGAAGGTCGTAATACCTCGTTTCGACATCGATACTCCGTCGCGCAAAATTTGAATTTTTGCAGGAAACTGCCGAACTGTGAAAACCAGTTCGGCTGCCGAGATGCCTTCAGGGTCGATGACCTCAAAGTCGTGGTGGTTTATTACGTAATCGGAGTTCGGCTGGAGTCGGAAATGTTTGACGTATACACGTGGCGGGCTATTTGACAACGGTTTAAGATTGACATTGAAATATTGATTTTGTCGCGTGTTTCCAGCCGAGTCGGTTACCGAAAATACGAACTCGATAAACCGAGTGATCACTCCTCGTTCTGAAATCGGCGGAAGATAGAACAGTTTTCGATCGTTAACATCTTTTTGGGTAAAATACTGCACGTTACAGTTCAAAGTGTCAAACGCACTTCCGGTTTGGGACAGACACAACTGACCGACTTTTAGTGGATTGTCCGGGTTCCGGTCATAAGGTCGAGTTGTGACCTTGAACTTAATTTCAATAGGTGTTAATGTTCCACTGTCAATATATTCCAACGACTTTTTCCCTATTATCGTCGGTCTATATTCGTCAACTTCGACAAACATTAAAGCCCATTCGCTAAATGTCGGCGCTTCTTCGTCTAAATGCACTAATTTGACGTTCAACAAATGTCTTAAATGGTTCGGAAAAATAGCGTTGTCGGAAACGTCAAGCCGAACATCCACCGTTGTTGTATTAAAACTTGACAGTAAATTACGACATTGTATGTTTCCGCGTATTATTTCAATTTGAGTCCAATTTGAAATGTCATTTTCGTATTTTTGTAGCGACCTTGTCAAAACTCTTCGAAATGAAATATTGTGATGAGAGTTAATTTTGAGTGAATACATGATGTTTTCAATCGACGAGTCTTTGTCTTGGTAAAATATATCACGTGGTGATATTGTCTTCCAGTTAGAACCAACTAAAGTTAGATATTTATTCAGTTGGATGTTTTTAGCACTGAACGGGAACTGATCGTCAATTGGGTTTATCAAAATCTGCAACAAAACCCTAGTTTCGTTTTCGCCCGCTTTGACAATTAAAACGACGTTATCCCAATATTCGTCATCACCGTTATGGGTGTATTTCACACTTCCCGATTGTAACTCGGATACTGTAAATTGGGTTCGCCTTAATTTGTTCACGGTGAAATAGCCTCCGCCTGTTGTCGGATTTCGTGCAACGTGACACACTAAATTACTGCTGTCGTATTTGTGATGTCGAGCTGTGAAATAGTCGGACGACAGCAAAATATCAGTGCCTTCGTTAACGACAATCGGTTGTCCAAGTTCAATAGTTGGAGCGAAAATGTTTTCAGGACTTGATGTGAACGTAATATCAAAGGTCTCTTGATTTTGAGTTACCGAATTCGTTGCTTGAACTTTCACTTTAAATATAGTTACCCTCTCTATTTCCTTTTTCTGCCTAAAAGCTAGTCGGTTTTCTGAGACGTCCTGTTGTGAAAATGACGTCACAGGGTAATCGGAATTTCCTGCGAGAACAATTTCGCCGTATTCGGATTTCTGAATGATTTCATACACAATCTCGAAATCTTGCACCAGGTTTTTGTCGTCAGACATAATGCTTAAACTGCCGAATAGACCGCTGGTCAGCGGAATTAGGTTATCAAAAGGAGAACTGCCGGATTCGAATTCAGCCTAAAATTGGAAAATCAAAATTAAGACACTCTGGAACGAATAGAAAAGGGGGAGGGTTTTGATGCAGCGGGCAGTCTTATGTGTAATTCTTTTTATACAAATTTTATTTCTTTAACACAAGTGAAATTAACACAAAAATTTGCGACTTAGGTAAAAAAAATTATATCGTAAAAAAAGCGAGTTTGCAAAAACGATTGCGACCTCTTGCAACAAAAAATGCCAAAAAAGATGACAAAAAATTCATTTGAAAAAGAATTGGAGATTGTCTCTTTGAAGTTGAACCATGTTAAACATAAAGGAGTGTGTTGGTCCGTCTCTATTTTGTTTGTCAGTAAGAAGAGAGGTTTTACCCGCGGAATGTTGAAACTTTTCTTCAAACTTTCATCCTCTTCAGACTTTTTTCCCTCTCTGATTTGAATGGGAACTGTTACAAACTGAGCTGATTTCGATCCCTCGGGTGAAACCATTAAAGGCACGAAATCAACAACTGCCCCGTTTTTGAAGTCAAGACTCGAACTAATTTCTTCAATTGGTTTCAGCAACTGATACGAGACGTCTTGTTCAAAAAACGAACTGCATTTTTGCATAGACCCGAAGTCGGGATCCTCGCTCACGAGCTTACCGAACTTCGGGTAGCTTGACACGAGAACGTTTGGCGCCACCCGACAACTTCCCGAGTGAAACTCGTTTAAGTCGAGAAGATCGTCCGGGAAGCTGACAGACAAATCACGTGACGGAATCGTAAGCACTCGCGGAAGCGAATTCAGAATAGACGGCGCTGGGTTCATTCGGACTATGATTTGAATTGCAGTCGAGAAGTATTGTATGTCTAATTTGCTTTCGTATTTGACACGGATGTCCAAACTGTGCTCGGTTGGAAACGGAAGTCCGAAGTGATTGAAAGTGACCTTCACCCGCCCGTCCTTGAAATCCTGACAGTCAAATATATCAGGTGTCATTTGGCCGAAATTGCGTGAAGCATCATCATTTT